TAGTCGATCGTAGCTGGTTGTCTCCTTTGTGACATGTGCCCCGGCTTGAAGTTTCACCGGACATCCTTGAGTTGCGGACTCTCGTTGGCCTAAATCAGTTACTAGCAGTGCATTTCCGGCACTCCGTGATTGTTTGCTGCCCCTGTGCGTCGGGAGCACCGTCCTGGCTTCCATATATCTGGGTCGGATGCCTTTCGAGCACATCTGTTCGGAACCAACACATCGTCCCGTGACCCCACGCTCACGACATGCAGCTGTTAGCAGGAGAACCACCCACCCAATGTCATTGACTTCGGCCTCAGCATGGTCAAGGCCGACAGTGTTTGGTCAACTCGGATTCGACATTTCTGATTTGTTTCAGCTGCCAGTCCTGCGGGACAAGGCTACCAGATCAGATCCAAATCCCTGCAGAATGGAGCCCAATCGCGAGGCCACGCAGAAATGGGCTCGGGAAAGTGGCGAAGACATCCAGTGCAGAGTTGCCCGGCAGAAACGGCAGTAAGGGTTCACTGGCGAAATGCCGTGCCAAACCTTGATCCCAGCCAGAGGTTGACACCCCTGACGGTTTAGGCTAGTGTTGAGGCCGTAGATCCCGAACCCTCAAAGGAAGACGGCGATCTGTATTTCTGTCCGCATGCCTGTCTTTGTGTCGTACACTAGTTTTGTTGTGCTCTGTTACTTTATGTTAAATTATGTTACTTCGGTTGTGTCGTGGCACCGGTATGTCACGTTATACCGTCTCATGTCATGCCATGTCAGTTTATTCCATATGAGGCTTCCCTTTTGTTGCATGATTTGCTGTGTGCTATGTCATGTTGTGTTTTTGTTTATATTATGTTGCGGTTTTTTGTTATGGATTTGTCCATGATGTGTTATGCCATGCTGTGGTACATGTTAGGTTGTGTGATGCTGTGTGTTGTCGTCTGCAATGTTATTGTGTAGCGTTTGTTTCCTGTTGTGGTACTTGTATGCTGCATTCTGATATGTTCGGCTTGATTATGTTATGCTGTGTGATGTTCTGTTGTGTTATGTTATGTCGTGTTGTTTCGTATTATGCCATGTTTGTATGTCTCTCTGCCTGTCTGCCCGCTGCCTGCCTGCCTGCCTTCCTGCCCGCCTGAGCATGTCTGCCTACCGGCATGTGTGTACGTACGTCTGTACGTACGTACATACTTACGTAGGTATGTATATACGTATGTATGTATGTATGTACGTATGTATCTATGTATGTATGTATGTTGTATGTTGTATGTTGTATGTTGTATGTTGTATGTTGTATGTAGATGTGCATGCATGCACGGGTGGATAGATGGACGGATGCAAGTCTACATGTGTGTATGTTTGCCGTGTGCCCAGAGAGAGACAGAGAGAGAGAGAGAGAGAGAGAGAGAGAGAGAGAGAGAGAGAGAGAGAGAGAGAAGCAAAGGGATGACTAAGCCCCTAGCAAAGCAGGGCAAAGAAGCAAAGCAGAGAGAGAGAGAGAGAGAGGGGCTGCTCCCGCGGGGGCATGCCCTCAAGCCTGGGGAAAGAAAGAAAGAGAGGGGCTTCGGATATACGGAAAGTACGCAGCTTCAGATTCTTTCCCAGGAGGCCGCAGCGGCGAACCAAACAACTCACAGTGCAAGTCGATGCAGTTGCTGCTGTTTGCAATACGGGGGTCGCAAGCCTCACGGAGCCAAAATCACGTGCCAACTCTTGGGGCTACAGCGTCTCTGTGTGAGCCTTAACCTCGAGTCGAGGGTAAAGGCATAGGGCGTAGTGGGTCCTGGTTGGCAGAAAAGCACATCCCACCGAATGTGCCAGTGATGGAATGCGCACCGACTTTTAGACAAGGATAGTACGTGACGTCGTGCGGGGGTATGCGCTTGTGCATTTTCCCGTAGTCATCCGGTTGCGGAAGCAGAAGCAGAAGAAAGACAGAGAGAGAGAGAGAGAGAGAGAGACAGAAAGCCTTTCTCTTGCCGGCAAGCAAGCAAGCAAGAGAAAGGCTTGATGCTCGGAAGGCTTGACTCGCCCAGAGAGAGAGAGAGAGAGAGAGAGAGAGAGAGAGAGGGCCACAGAGAGCCTGACCCTAGCCTGTCTGTTCAGAAGCACGGATGGGGCAGCTCGACTGAGCGCAGAGTGGGGACTGCAAACTCCTCACACCCCCGAGCAAAGCCAAAAGAGAGGGGTTGGGGATCCTTTGGCTGTGTGGAAGGAGAGAGAGAGAGGGAGAGAGAGAGAGAGATAGAGATAGAGATAGAGATAGAGATAGAGATAGAGAGAGAGATAGAGAGAGAGAGAGAGAGAGAGAGAGAGGGAAGGCTATGACGGGGATTCCCCCCGAAGAGTACTCCTGGGTGTGGCAGACAAAGTGGGGCTAAGGTAGCAATAGGCCCAAGGTGGCCGCAAGGACAGACTGGCCCATGCCTGCACTTTAGGCCGCCGGCAAGCAAGCCAGAGAGGAACAAACAAAGACAATTCGCAAGAACGGGAGAAAGAGAGACAGAGAGAGAGAGAGAGAGCGAGAGCAAGGGAGCGAGACTGCAGTGTGCAGATTGATGTTGACCACCATGCTGTGAAGTCCAGGTGTTGCTTCGAACAACAGATGTCCTCACTGCGTTGCGCACCCTCAGCTTTGTTTGAAATCCTGACAGAACTCATTGCAAGGTCGGTGTTCACTACGGGGAGTGCCGAGGTCTGCCCCGCGGGTTTGGGAAAGGTCAGAAGCTGTAGGACCTTGTGGGTTGATTTGAAGCATCTGAGTCCCAGTCTCGGGGTTTCCACCGGTATGCAAAGCAGATTAATGAGTTTGCTTTCATGAGCAATCAGGCTACAGTAAGCAATGCCTCGCCACGTTCTGCGCGGCTGAAGGGCTCAGCTTGCCGGTGGCCGTGGAATTCCATTTTTAGGTTGGCGCGATGCTGCTGCATCTCTCACTTTCCACGGCCGACTCCCCAAGCCCGGGTGCAAAAGGTTTCTGTTCATTGTTCGCCGTAACAAGGGTCCAGGTGGTATAGAGCGTCATGTCGCAGCTCCTCGCCAGAAGAGATTAACGATCAAGGCTGAAGCAGGAAACCTAGTTATACCTAAAATCTTGTTCGTTCGAGCGGGGATTAGCACTGGCTGCGTACTGCCGTGAGAATTGTGTTCAGAGCTTGAGCTGGTGATGGAGATTGAAGGAGAAGCTAGAAGTGCCATTCGACGTAGTTTGAGCACTTCGGACAGCCAGGTGGCATCGTTGGCACGGATAAGCAGCGCTATCACCTCTTTGGCACGCTGATACATCAGCTGGAGCTCTTGGAGGCCAGCCGTAAGTTCATTGAGCCTGAGAAGACTCAGATCGAAGCCGTCCCTCCATTCTTTCTGACCTGGAGTACGCCAGCATCGCATAGCTACCACGTGTCGGTCAGCAACGATTTTCGATCGAATGGGGACAGGCACACAAGATCGAAGCTAAGCTCCGGCGTCTGATTTGCTTGTTTCCATTTCCCTTTGTCGTTCTTGGCCAGATGGCATGGGATAGAGATCAACAAAAATTAAACTTGGAGAAAAGGTAAACTTGGATCAACATATATAAAAGTTTGGATCAAAGGCAAGCTGAACTAGCAGCAAAGGGCAAGGAAGGAAGGAAGGACGGAGCACAAAGAAGAACCACGGAAGGGAGAAAGGAAAGAAGGGAACGAGGAAGGAAACAAGGAAAGAAGGAAGGAAGCGAGGAAGGAAGAGAAGAAAGGAAGGAGGAAAGGTAGGAAGGTTTAACGAAGGGAAGGAACGAAGACATACACGCTTGCTTGCATACATACACATACATTCATACGGTCGTATGTACATACATGTATATATATATATATATATCTATATACCTATATCTTTATCTGTATATACATTTATATGTATATGTATATCTAATGACTCTATAGACGTTTTTTGTGTACATATATATACACAAATATGTGACGATATATGCATATACTTTATATATATATACATACATACATAAAGTGTTTGTACATGTTTATGGGCAGTGGGAGGGTATATACTCACGTACTACATATATACGGCTCACATATATGTACAAACATTTAGTGTATGTACATATGTAAAGAAAGTGTATGTTTTTTGTATCTGTATATATGTATACATACGTGTGTATACGTAGGTACGCAGTTATGTATTTATGTTGGTTTGTGTGTGTATATGTAGATCTGTATATATATATATGTAGATATGTAGAAGTTCAGATATATAGATAAGTTTATGTCTGTATGTACGTATGTACCTATGCATATATGCATGTATGTATATAGATAGCCCACCCTGTAGCCGTAGAAACATCTACCCCGGCCCAGCCTTTCAGGGCGTTTGGACAGCTGGCTCAACGGCTCTCCAATTCACGCAAGCGTGCGTTCAAGCGTGCACAGGTACGAGCGCTTCAGCATGGCAGCACCCAATATAAGGGCCAAACCCATACTCCTGGTAGTCTTGCCCTTAAGGTTATAGGTCCCGCCCCGCGTAGGCCCCCACGAGATCCTGCAATGTTTGCCAACCAAATACGTATAGTTACGTGGAATGCAGGGGGCCTAAATGCTGCAAGGTATGCCGAACTGCTCGAGTGGATCAGTCAGGAGGCCGCTGCCGGTCGCCCTATCCACATTCTCTGTGTTCAAGAAACTAAGTGGAACTACGATGCGGAATATCAAACACCTGACTGGAACGCTATTCATTCCAGCACTGGTGCATCTGCAGGGGGAGTCCTAATGCTAGTGCACAAAAGCGTCTCAAAATCGGAACATCTCCGATTCGTTCCAGTGGTGCCCGGCCGCGCCCTGCATGTCCGTGTTGCGCTGAATCCACCTTTGGATGTACTGGGTGTGTACCAGCACGCCTGGCATACACAGGCCAGGTCAGATGCAGCTGGATTCAGCACCGCTACGCAGAAATTGCTGCAGTCCCGTCACATCTTTTGGGATTCCCTTCGCAAATGGATCCGCTCCATACCCAAGCGCAACATAGCAGTGATGGTTGGAGACTTTAACTGTCCCCTGCATACGCATTTACCCAATATCGGTACTGGATTAGCACCCCACAAACATTTAGTTCATCCAGACCAGTCTGAATTCCAGTCTGTAGTCCAATCAGAGGGCCTTGTAGCACTTAATACGTTCGGTGTCAAAGGCAAGCCTGCTGGCACGTATCTACACTTCGATGATCATGTTGTCCAGATAGACTTTATTATCACCAGACTTCCGTGCCGACAGAGAGCCAAAACGGCTTCAGCCATCCCCGACGCCGACATTGTGCACCCCACGGGTCTTCGACATGCTCCGGTTGCAGCGTACTTGCCAGTTGAGGGCCCTTCCACGCCTCCACAAAAGTCCCAGAAAATCACCAGGTACCAGGTTCAAGACTTGTTTCAGAAACAGCCGGAAGCGGAAGCCTGGTACAAGCATCGGGTCCAGACATTGCTTGCGTCTCACTCTGATCCAGAGGTTGCACTAGCAAAGGCATGGAAGGCTTGTGCCCAACAGTTCCCGCTTGGCAAGGCCAGTGCCAAGCCCCGAGCGGAAATCAATCTTCAAACCTTTTGGATAGCTAAGCGTCAGCTCAGATCGGCGTTGCAAACAGCTAGTCAATACTGGAGCCCCGTCATCTGGCACTGCTCGGCCTCTGGCCAAGCGACTTTGCGTGCTCATTTTCCAGGAGTGATATCCCGTCTTTCAGTTTTGCTGCATGGATGGAAAGCCTCGGTCAGTTTTGGCCGCCAGAACAGGACTCTGCGTCAACGTGTACTGCAAAATAAGCGCCAACAGGTGGATGCCTTAATCCAAGATGCACAGCAGACGCCAATACAAGGCCTCAGTGGTCTTTACCGTCTTTCGCACAAACTGCGGCCAAAGACTCCGCGTCGTTCCATCCACTTTCGCTACCCAGATGGAAGCCTCATGACGGAGGAGGACGAGCTGAATAGTCTTAAGTCTTATTTTGCAGACTTGTATGACTCCGCCAATAAACCGCAGCAGCTTTGGACCCTGCATGAGTCATTTCACATCACGCGCCAAGAAGTCGCCTCCGCTTTTGGGCACCTTTCTGCTGTGAAAGCGCTCCCTTCGGCGCATATGCCGGCCTGCCTCTGGAAATTGTGTGCTGAGAGCCTCGTCCCCCAAGTTCAAGCTATTTTCAATACTGTTCTGCAGCCTGGACCTCTATGCTTCCCCGCCCACTGGCATCAGGCTTTCCTGACGCTGATTCCCAAACCGGGTAAGCAGCCGAATCGACCCTGTAACCTGAGACCCATAAGTATTTTACCCGCCATGCCCAAACTTCTGGCCCGGATAGCAGCAGAGCGTCTTAAACCCTACCTGATAGAGGCCCTTCATCACATCCCTCAATTCGCTTACACCCCGCATCGCCAAGCAGCCGATGCCGTCGACCGGGTGATGTCACATTGTTGGGAAATTCGCGAACTTGTCCAAGGGCATAACAGGTCTGTATTTAAGCTTCATGCCGGACTCACAGACCCCACATTCTGTGGGGGACTGCAGTTATCATTAGACCTAAGTAAAGCCTATGATAGGTTACCTCGGGCTTGCCTCTATCAATCCCTACTGCGGGTAGGTGCTCCAACTGACCTCATCAACTTGATCATGTACATTCATGAGAAGGCAGAATTGATCATCAGTCGGCACGATAAAGAAGTAGCTGCGGAAATGGGCAGGGGAATTCGGCAGGGGTGTGGTCTCTCACCGCTGCTCTGGCTTGGTTTTACCATCCTTATCTTTGACACTCTAACTAGTTATCTTCCGGAAAACGCCTTGACAGGATATGCGGATGACTTTCATGCCCAGTGGAAGTTCCAGCATCCACGCGAGTTTCAAAGTGCTGTCATTCAGATTCGCTCGGTAATTGGGGACTTGCGCAAGCTTGGCATGCAACCGGCCATTGACAAAACCGTGATACTTCTAGCGATCAAAGGGAAGGCTGCGCCGAAGCTCCTTAAAACCTTAAAACCTTTACCACCATGAAAGATAAGAAGCGCTATCTGGTTGTAGACGTATTAGGTGACCCACTGCTCCTCCCCATTAAAGAATCGCACTTGTATTTAGGCACCAAGATAGGATACCACCGTTTTGAGTCGGATACTGCCCAGCACAGATTGACACAGTCCTGGATAGCCTTTCACCGGCTGCACTGTCTGTTGAAGCATCCTGGCATACCCCTTAAAAGACGTCTGCAGCTTTGGCTGACCTGTGTTTGGTCTATCACCAGCTATGGATTATCGTCTGTAGGTGTGGATGCAGCCAGTGCCGACAAACTTGTGTCACAATCCATGAGACAGCTGCGCATGGTTTCTCGTAGTCCGTCGCACATCACGCATGAGAGCAATCACCAGCTTTTACAGAGGTTAGGCCTTCAGCCAATCCTTACACGTCTACATGAGTTGGCAGAACGCCGGATTGCCTCAAGCAGTGCTTCGGTGCGACATATCCAACCGGCACGTGTGCACCAGTGGTGGCAATTTGCATGTCAAAGCTTTTTAGCTCACGATTGCCCATCGCCGGATGGAGTGCGTCTCGTAGATGTCACACAACTTGTACATGAGCGCCACACATGCCCCACCTGCAGTCAGGCTTTTCCAAGCTTCCATGCACTAACTGTCCACATTGGTAAGCAACATCCCTCAACCCGGCCCCCAAAAGAACGCAATGTCACTGTCCGCAATAAGAGGGATGACTCGCTTAGACGATTCTCAATTGGTGGGCTGCCACAGTGCAAATTCTGCCTTAGGCGTTTCAATGCCTGGCCAGCGTTCTTTGGACATTTTAATGGTGACTCCTGCCCTAAGTTTCCTACCAGCACCCTCCGTACAGAACCCCTAGATTCCTCAATGCAACAGGGCCCTACTGTTTTGATGAACTCCGCTGATGGGGCGTCCGCGCCGGGAGCCAGTCAACACAGTTGCCCTGCAGCACTTGCGCCATCGACCGCAGTGCAAAATCAGGAACCAGCCGCCAATGCTCAGCCGCTGTTCTATCGTACGGAGCTCCAGCAACTGGCTAAACAAAACATGCTTACACAACTGGTAGATGCCATACATGACAGTAAGTCGCTTAATCATTGTCCAGAATGCTGGCAGTGGTGCACTGGTCCGTCATATCTTTCGAGACATGCGATTAAAGCTCATTCGAATGTGGCGGAGCATCAGCAGGCAGTAAGAGATTGGGCCCGAGCCAGAGGACGAGCACTTAGGCCGTGTGAGTGGTGCCGTGAGTGGTACAAGGCCAGGCCAAATGTACATGTACAAACCTGCCCCATCTTGTGGATGTGTGGGCACTTCTTAGCTCGTTTCTCCTCCCTGGGAGACCCCACACAAACCACCTTGCAGGATGAGCGACTTGCAGCTCCAGGAAGCCTCCGCAGAGCTGGAACAGTTCGGCAAATACATGGCCCAAGCCCAGAATCCACTGCCGACCACGTCACTTCCCTCCACGGGTCCTCCCTCGCTCAGAGATCCTTCGGAGCTTCAGGAGGCCAAGGAGGACATGGAGCTGGAGAGGGAGAAGCGCAGTCCACCCAGGGCTGCTCAGGAACCACTTGCAACGAAGTTCGCCAAAGGGGATGCGAAGGGGGCCCTTCAGGAACACAGAGAAGCCCTCCACACGGGGAAGGGCAACACCGACCCGCAGCTGGACAAGACTGTGGAGCAGGAGACGGGATTGGGCAAGGACCAGCAGACCGACGACTCCAAAGTCCAAGCAGCACTCCGGCCAACACACCAGCCTCGCCAACAACGGGGCGCAGCAAGACCCAGTGGATACGGCACGGGCGGCTTCATGGGGCACTATGGCACCAAAGACCAATGGGGCCGCTCTCAGTGGCCTGGCAAAAGGGCAGACAAACCGCGGCGCACATGGAACTCCGAGGAGGAGTCAAATCCGGAGGCCCTGAAGGAGATCATTCGGAACCTCACTCGGTTGGTCGTCCGTTTGGAAGACACGGTGACGATCAGCAACCTCGATCAGGAATTCGTGATATTCCTCCAATCGGAGGCCTCGGGAAACCAGTGGGCGATCACTTCGGCGCTGTTCAACACAGCGCAGGAGTGGAAGAAGAAGAAGGAAGGCGATCCGAGCAGCCTCTCTCAGCCGCTCCGGAATGTGCTGTTTTTCTGTCTGTGGAAAAGCCTTCACAGCATGCTCCAGAAGCTAGAGGACCCCGCGCACCAGACCACCTTAGAGAAGGCACGCGAGTTCGGACTGACGGAGAACGACAACTACGTGTACCTGAAGTGGGATGCGCAGAGCAAACAACATGTCCGGGACGATCGTCAGCCTCTCCCGCACACAGAGGCAGTTCAGACGGTGCTGAACATCCAGCAGCTGTGCACTTTTCCGGACGTCATCGGCAGGTTTCACGCCATGCGGCCTCTGGTGGCCAACCACTCGTCAGAGGTAGTGCCATTTCTGTTAACGATCCAGAACAGATCCGTGGCCAGCCAACAGATGCATGCCCTGCTCCATCGTCTCTGTCGCAATGGATGCACACACCTAGTTGCGATGACGATGCGGCCAGCCAAACTGGGCCGCAGTCCTTTGGCCCAGCAGTTGGAGAAGCAAGTGCAGAACCTTTGAGGGTCTCCCCAGGCTCGGTGCTTCATCTCACGCTACTCAATGATAGCATGCACTGTTATGCCAATGCCCTTCTGCTGGCCCTGTATTGGGCTATCTCGCAACTCTCGACAGGCTTCCGCTTCGCCAACCGTGACCTGCACAGGCTGTCCGGCTGGTTGCTGAGGCGCCCACAGCAGGTTGAACTCTGGAGAGTCAGAGCCTGGACACAGCTCACACAGTCCTGGCAAAACCCGCACAGACAGCAGGATACGAGTGAGTTCCTTCTCTTCCTACGAAGAGCAATTCTAGGAGATTCTCTATATGGGCTGTGGCAGTCTAGAGAAGAACTTGCCACCTCCACTGAAACGCAGGTGCTTGATCGAGGAGGCATCTGGCCTCTTGTAGTTTCTGTGCCGCTCTCAGCTGGCACCAGCAGTGAGGAACCCACGTCGTTGCAGAAACTAATCATCGCCTGGAGAAACCAGGCGGCTCGCCACGCAATGGTGATCCCGGCTGATCTACCTGAGCTGTTGCCTGTGCAGATCAACAGATTCAGTGATAGTGGTGATAAACTACTAAAGGAGGTTCTCTGGAGTAGTGCGGTGTATATGCCGATATACACGAGTGCAGGCCTGCAAACCACATCGCAACGGTACTTAGTGGTCTCGGTGGTTTATCACTTGGGTTCAACGCCTTGCATGGGCATTATCGTGCAGCTTTTGCCCGCAATGGCTCGCTCTGCCATGTGACAGATGACAATGCTCCTGCTGAGCCCATCACAGTATCTGACGTGCAGTGTATACAACAGAATTCATATTTGTTCTTCCTAAGGAAGGCTTGAACCCAGATACCTGTCGTCCTTTCTGTTTCTGGTGACATCAGCATCAGTGGAACTACCCAGGACCCTTTGAGGCGTCACAAGGCTTCCTTCTTGACTTTTTGGTGGCATCAGCGTAACTAACCTAGGACCTTTTGGGGCCTCGCGGGACTTCATTCTCTGCTTTTGGTGGCATCAGCGTAACTAACCTAGGACCCTTTGGGGCGTCACAAGGCTTCCTTCCTGGCTTCTAGGTGGCATCTGCGTAGCTAACCCAGGACCCTTTGAGGCCTCGCGAGACTTCATTCTCCGTTTTTGGTGGCATCAGCGTAACTAACCTGGGACCCTTTGGGGGCTCGCATGGCTTCCTTCTCGGCTCTTGCTGGCATCTGCGTAACTAACCTAGGAATACCTGTACACATGTTTGACTTACTTTGAGTCGTGACGGAGTGCTGCCAAACATTTAGGATCCTCCTGGCTCTGAAGAAGGAGTTTTCCAGGATATCCTTCTCTCCTACTGTCTAGTGTTGGTTATAAGGGACAAAGGGTGCTGCTCAAGGGGCGATCTCGCCGGGCACCTGGTCCTGCAGGCCTTTTCATATTACCGTAACTTGATGTGTCATCTACTCTAATCATCGATTCTTCTGGGCAGTGGGAGGCTTTTAAAAGAGGGAGTAGCTGAGTTCCGGGGTGTCATCTCATGAACGAGTTGGCATGCGTCCCTGAGACGCCGGTCTAACCGCCCTGCAACGCGAGACACTCTTGCGGCGACGGAAGAAAGTATATATATATAAACAGACGTTTTCAACTTCCCGGATTAGAGAGTGCGTCGTGATAATGTTACAATAGCACTTCCATCCAGAATGATGATGCATGCTGGAAGATTGTCTAGGTAGCTTATGCAAGTCCTCCATTAGCCGGTCTTAGATAGATAGATATACCTGTATATACATATTGATGTGAGACGCATCGTGCTACTGGGGCGTTTCGGGAATACAATTACCACAGTTACCACGACAACTACTATTGCTACGGCGACGACGACGACTACTACTACTACACGACTGACTGCACGACTACCACCTACCACTTTTGCACTTTGCACTTTGCATCGCAGCAGCGTGATCCGCAGCTAAGCGTCCGGATTGACCAAATCGTCCTAGCGATTCGGCTGCTCCACACCAGGTTGGTGATAGCAGCTATGCTTGAGCATAGTCAGATTTACGAGTAAAAAGGCGAAGCCCCGTGTCGAAAACACAGAGCAGGCTTCGCGGCGACTGGTTCCTGCTCAGCAAGACCAGACTGGCACAAACAAATAAATAAAAAACCTTCAAGCAATCCTTCTGAGCCCGACTAGGTATCCACAAGTGTCTAGCTCTTGGCTTTGTTCCCCAATGTCAAGCAGAGACTTGTTATCATCCGTGACATGATATGTAGGCACAGAGGTTGCCTTCCGAGCGAGCCGAAGCGCTCAGTGCCGCCCGATAATGGCCTGTCAACAGGGAGTTGCCAAGATGAAAGACAATGCCAACAACTTCGTAGCGAATGATGTGTGCATCCACGTCGTGGCTGTACCTGAAACACGGAATTCGAATCATTGTACCAACCGGAATCTGCACTTCTGCAAAGTCTTCGACTGTCCCAGCTGCAGTTTCCTGAAAACGTTTGATTTGTAGAATCAATAATCGAGGTGCTGGTGAAGTTAAGGCCTGAATACTGTGCTGAGCATGCCAATGATAAACACAATGCTGCAAGCTCCGACCTGCCACTTCAACCGCGATTGGTGCAAAGCTGGTGCCTGAGTCAACAACAAGATCCGAGCCCTCTTCCTGCAGTCTGGATTCCCAACCGCCTCTGAAAGCTTCAGGCTCTGACTTGCCGAGGACAAAGGAAACAAATTCTGCAGCATCATGCTGTTGATGAGGCCGCTCCCAACCTGTCATTATACGAAGCCAAGGCAGAAGAGAAAGAAGAAAAAGTGGAGAACTGCCTTGAAGGCAACGCATGGCTCGGTCCAGCCTGCCAAATGCTTCCCGGCTGTCCATACTTTGCCCCATGTGGTACAAGAGAAGACAGCATGCATTCATGTAGCAAACATTGGACCGGTTGACAAGCTTGTATGCAAACCGCGGGTTCAGCCTCAATGGAGTTCCTGCTCCGGCTCGTGGTGCTGGGTCGGCTCGTCCCGTCCCTGCTGCGAGCTCGAGGCGCGATTGGCCGGAGGCGGTGGCGGAAAACGTTCCGCTACGACCTTGGCAAGGGGCTGTCGATCCATCTTTGCCGGCTTCATCTTGAGCCCGATGACCTTGCCCGCACCATTCCCGCACAGATTCGTGAGCATTCCCCAAGCCTGAGCTGCCATGGGGTCCCGATGTCCCACTGTCAGCAGGAAGGTGACTGTCTCCCCTGCATACTCCTCTGCCATCCTCCTCGTGGAGCGGAATCGAAGCAGGGCGTTTGGCGCCTCCCGGGTGGCCTGCAGCTGAACCAGCATGGTCACCACCTGACTTTGGAACATTGGCTCCGCATCCGGCACCTTCTCCAACGCCTTGGTGGTTGAATTCCAGCGGAGATACAGCCATTGCAGCTCCGTTGTGCCCTCCGGCATTTGTGCATAGCCCTTGTCCACAATGCTCTTCCGGAGTGCCTCCGCCTCGTCTCCCGGGACCTCCAAGGCTCTCATCCTCTCCAGCCACACTTGCAGTAGCCCCATAAAGAGGCATACCCGAAGGGAGCAGGTCACCTCCTGCTTGTCCTTCTTCACTCGCCATGCCTGTGCCAAGCGATACAGCTTGGTCAGAACCGCCGCTTCCTGAGTCTCCATGGTCAGGACAAAGTCCCTTTCCACCCGAGTCTGGGACAGCTCGTCCTCGTGTCGTAAGCAAAGGCGAGCTAGGAGTCTGAGATTGTCCTCCCAAGCTTGCTCCTCCTTTGTTTTCCGTTGTCCTCCCCATTGGTAGGAGCTCCATCCGCGTCGCTGTCCTTGGCTGTTCCTCCAGCCCTGCTGCTGTTGCTGCTGTCTGCCCTGGCTTCGAGCCTGTTGCCCGGTCTGGCCGAAGGCCGCTGCCGCTGCTGTGAGTGGATCGTCCTGGCCTGCCTTTTTCGGGTCGCTGGTGGTCGCCTCCCGATTTGGATGTCCCGAAGAAGGAGCCGATGGTTCCGGGTTGGCAGCTTTGCCTCCTTTCCCCTGTCCGCCCTGTCCCTTGGAAAGTGGGCGAGGGTGTTTCGGTTGAGGCTCCCCGTCCTTCTCGGCTGTGTTCTCCGCCAGAGCTGTAGCCTCCCTCTTTCCCAAGGCTGCATCTACCTCCATCTCCTGCATGTGTTGAAAGCAGGCTGCCACCTCCTGAAGAGTGGACTGTCCGTCCATTGACAAAGACGCTCTCCAGCTGACTTTGTGCCGAGGCCCGTTGGCACCGGTCAGCCCGCAAATAAGCTAAATGCTGCAGAATGGTGCACTGATGCTTGGTTGTCCGTGCAAATGTGGCTCCACAGGCTGAACAAGGACTGGATCGAACAAGGTCAACAGTGCGACACTCTGATCGTATCTCTGTTTTCCTGAGGTATACCTCCTTATGTGCAGATCGAAGATGATTCTCGAAGGAGCCGCTCGTGGATGAGAACCACTTGCCACAGAAAGCACAAAAATTTCGCAGAGACTCACGTACACCTTCAAGCTTCAACGCAGCATACCAGTGCTTCTGCCCTAGCATTTGCAACACGTCCTGTCTCTGTGAGATGAGCAAAGCCCCCGTGTCCTCAGGTGCTTCACCGGCTTCCGGAGACCCCGCAGCGGACTGCAGAGCAGGTCCACCAGTCACCGGTGGGCTCTCCCCCGTGGCTGTAAGTTCTGTTTGCAGGACAGGACAAGCATTCAGAATATGCATGCGAAATTCTTGCCACCCCGCTAAAGCAAGACCACAATGTCGACATTGAGGCAGTCCATCCTTGCAGTGAGACGAAATGTCCAGCTCGCGATAGGCCTTGCTTCCTCTAGCTACTTGTCTGCCCATTCTGCTGCCATGTTTTCTGGAATGATGAATCTTCAGAATATGTCGCGATGGGAAGTACAGACCACAAGTTGGACAGGCGTGTCTCTGCGTGCCAGGGAGAACATCTACCAGAATCTACCAATGTGGCTCCTGAGTGGCTGTTGGGATTTGTCGCAGGAGTCTGCTTCGTGTTAGAACTGGCAATCGGGGTTCCAATGATGTGCCTCAGCTGCAGCCTTGTAAAGAGCGCTTCAGTTGTCTCCTTCGTAATATGCACTGGCGATTTGGCTATAGCCCTCACATACTTGACGTCCCTTCGATAAAGGAGCAGCCGGTCTTTCTCAGACAAACGCATGTGTTGAACTCCATACAGCAAAGTCGTTCTAACACAGGCTCGGTATATTTCAAGGCGTTGTTTGATGGACAAGTAGCGAGACGAGTGAAGGACCTTCGCCATTCGTTGCCGTGTCAAACTGCCTGCCTGCAACCTGTGCTTGACTGAGGCCGTTTCGTAGTTCTTGTAGGAGATGATGATGCCTAGGTACTTCACCTTCTGCACAACCGGCACCCGAAAAACTCGCAGGCCACTAGCCAAGAGAAAATGGGGCTTTCCCTCAATCACCTCAATGTGCCGCTTCAACCATTTAGCACCATGTGTGCCCGCCAATCGAATGATAAGTGCTGATTTTTCAGTGTTGACCTTCATGCCATACTCCTGATACACTTCCAATACAGCGACGGCACTTTGGATGAAAAAGGATAAGTCCTTTGCACTGGCCAGATTCCACGCACAGTGCGTGTCGTCTGCGTACAGAGTCATCGATTCTCTAGGCCATGCAGACTCCAGTTTCACTTCGATCTTATGTAGCAGGAAAGCGCTGAAAAGAGCCCACAAAAGGGGAGCTAAAGTACATCCCTGACGGACCCCATTAGACATGTCCACATAAGAGACCAGTCCTTCGTGTTCAATTCTGTACCGACAAGCGCAGTGCAGTTCCAAAATTATGGAGACGAGGCTGGGTTCAACATTGGCCCATTCCAAAGCTTCTTTAAGAGCAGCTCGTGGAAGCCGGTCGAAAGCAGTGGTCATGTCTAGCGCCAATTGAGCTCCACCCACGTATTTGGACCGGGTTTTTCCGGACTTTTTGTTGTAGATGTTGTGCCTGTCCTGCACCACTCTGCTCCGTATTAAACTGCAATGCTCTGTCACCCTCTGTATGGCGTCTTGGGCGGATCGATTGCTCAGGTATGCGTACTGAGGAAATTGCTCGAGTGTATCCCGCACCTGTAGGAAAAGTCTCTCCTTGAGCACCTGAGCTATGGCCTTACCAGCCGCATCTTGAATACCCAATGGTCTAAGTGATTCCGGTCTTTTTATAGTTTTCCCCGGCTTAGGTATCAGAGCCAAATTACAATCCGCCCATCGCCCCGGATAGCCAGCTGCCGTCTCACTGTGAAAAGCTTCCAGAAGAGGCCCACAGAGCTGTTGCCTGCAGAAGCGCCAAACAGAGGAACGCGCATGAAGTCGAGGCACGGCCATGCCTTTGCCCAGTTTACCCAGCGAAGAGTAGAGCTCTTGAATCTCCAGAATCAACGGTTCCAGCCTAGGGAGGGGTTCAATTTCATGTGGTATTAGACTGAATAGCTTCCTGAAGTACTCCGAGATTTCGGCATGCTCCTCCTCAGCCGTCAGAACTTCACCTGCAACCGAACGAATGCGAACCCGACCTCCCTGCATTTTCGGGGCAATTTCTCGGACCACCTGATACAGAAGTCTGGTGTCCTTGCTGGTCTCAGCCTGTCGGGCCAATTCCAACTGTTGATGCAGCCTCTGCTTGCGATGCCAGAGCCCCCGACGTCGGACCTCTCGGTAGCTCCGCTGGAAAGCAGCATAGGCTCGGAAAGCCCAAAGCACTTGCCTGCGAGAAAACAAACCCAGGCGAACATTCCGACCAACCCTGTGTAGATCTCGCCTGCACCTCCACATCTCGCCCAGAGAAGTGCGTACCTCTGGCTGCTGCCATGGTCGCAATGATGGTGCCTTAGGCTGATAAGGGTATATGTCGCTGCAGCATTGTACCAGCAAAGCGTTCAGTGAGTCCGCCGAGTAGGGTTCCGTGTGTTGCAAAAGGGCTTGCTCCACTCGATCTCGCAGCATGTCGGCCTTGGAGTCTGCCAAGTGCAGGGATAGCTCCAGTTGCTGCTTATCGTATGGCTGAGAAATCTGAGGTTTTTGCCTCGCTCCTGCCCAGCCTGGCTTGAGAGGTAAGGAGGTCTCCACCGGGCGATGCTTGGCTCCTAGCCTCCATGGAGAAAAATCCAGTCCTGCCACCGGTCTGGCTCGTCTGGCAAGTGAGTCAGCCTGAAAACGTCTTGTCAAGATGTAATCAATTTGGCTTTTGCTGCTACCATTGATGAACGTGTTCATGTCCTGCTGTCCACCCCGGCTCCATGTGTTGAGAAAGCAAAGACTGTTGGCCTGAGCATAGCCGACGAAATCATCCTGATCAAAATAGTAAGGATTATCGTTTGGTGCCGAGCCCCCAGCTGTGCCACTATCAAGAGATTCCTTTGTGGCAGTGAAGCAGTGTAGCTTCCAAGCTTGGTCCAGAACTGCTCCCGCTTGGAGGCATTGATGTGCCGCTGCTCTCGACTGGAAATCACGTGTTGGTAGCAGGACAAAAGGTCAATACTATAAGTGTCACCACTCAACCGAACATGTAGCAGCCGTCCTGGGATGACCGGCAAGCATCTGGCCGTGAAGTGGGCGACAATGGTGGTTCGAATGGCAATGGCAACGCCTGCAAATCGTGTTTTAGGATCCGGCGAACTAATCATGGTCCACTGTCCCATCTTCCACTCCGCCTGCTCCGCCCCGAAGCCGCGATGTGTCTCTTGCAGCAACAGCACGTCGTAGGGAGCAGTCTGCATCCAATTGGCAAGTGTATCATAGACGACTGTAGTTAAGCCATCTAAGTTGACACTCAGCACTCGAAGTCGTTTTGACTCGTGTCGTTTGACATTGGTTCGAATCGTGTCAGGATTGCTTTGGGCCCGCATGGTTTCCAGACCCCTATAGGTATATACTCTCCCTCGATATAAGGTACTTCCCGTCCTCATCGCTCGTTGCAATGCCCGTTTGAAGGATCGCTTCCTTGCTGCAGGCAGGTTCGAAGCACCCAATGTTCCTCCGGATAACCCACTGTACTTTGCAGCAACCGAGGCTGCTGCTCCCAGTGACCCAGGGGGCGGGTCACTAACCCTCGCATCTGCCACGGCCGTGCATTGTTGGATCCCTGCCAGCAAGATAATCCAAAATAGGACACAGGGTCGAATCGCACGGCCACGGCCCTGGGAATTGGGACCCAGGCGGCTCGTTCTTGCTGTGATTGTCGGCTGCTCCACGTTGTAAGTTGATCTGTCCAGGCAAGAAGCTTGTGTGAGTACTATACATTGTGTATCGATCTCACTGTGAATAGCCCTGAGGACACCGCCGAGGTTGGCCAAAGCGATGTGATAGTACACCTGGCACACGTGGTTGCGGACAGAGCTTGGCTGTAAGGAATACCACTGTCCAGCCCAGACATCCAGAAGCTCTTTTGTTTTCGTCAGCAGCGCCGTCGTGTTCCCGAGTTGCACTACCGCAAGATAGGTCCACAGGACTAGTCCCGCAGCGAGCTGCAAAGCAGACTTAGTCCTAGACCAAACTAAGAAGAAACAGACTGAAAAGATCCTAGTCTCGCGTCTGAGGTTCAGAGCCCAGATCAGCATCCTCCGAGGCCGAGGAATCCGTGAACCAGGACACGTTCCCGGTCGAATCGACTTCTCCTTCTGTGGCCTCGTCCATCTCCATGCATGGATCCTCTTCCAGCTGCTCCTCCTCAGCCTGCTCTCCCTGCTGTCCCTCAGGATGCTTTTTTTGGTGTAGCCGCCCTCGTGGTTCCACCCTCTCCGTAGGAGGGCCCCCGGGTCGTGGCGTAAGCACCACCCTGGACGGTTCCGCCGAAGAGGGACCTGCCGAAGATGGTCTATCTCCTCCCCGTCGAGCTCGGTTTTCTCTGGCTTCCTTGGCCAGCTCTCTGATTCCCTGGCCAGCTCTCTGATGTCGATGACCTCAGAGTCAGAGGAGCGCTCTTCATCGAACTCTTCGTCTCCCCCTCCGCCTCGTCAGTGCCATCAGCACCCCTTCCAGTTTGTGGCCGGTTAACCGGCAAAGGCCTTGGAGGCCCGGCCGGTGGAGCATCCGCTGGTCTCGGCAACGGATCCAGGTATCGGCACAATCGCCGTCGAGGGGTCCTGGTGCGGCTGCGGCCCTCTGCACTCGCACTGGTTTCCATTTCAGGATCTTCTTTTTCAGTGGACGGGAAGTGTGCAAGATGCAATGCCCAGGGCCTATATCTGCCTTCGGCTTCCGACCAGTACATGCTCTATTTTGAGCCCAGCTGCAGACTGCCTGCTTGCCTACTGCATACACGAGCACTGCCACAGTTCCGCTGCAAAACACCAAAGACAGCAAGTGCAGAAAAATTGCCAGCTCCACCTGCCAGGAATGTTGCCGAAGGAAGCTCTGCCGTTGGTGCTTGTAGGCTCCAGCAACAGATCTGCAGAGTTGCACCCCTATGTCTGTGTCAGTCCAACCTATCCAGACAAACCGAGCAACCAATATCTGCAGCATAAGCCCCGTCCAGAACGCTTTTGGCAAACTCCATGTTGACCGAAAAGGTTCGTCGAATGAACTCTGGTTTGTGTTCATTTTCAAGCCAGAGCCAGGCCTGTTGCCATACCACGTAGGCTCCTTCCTTCTGCCAACGTATGCCAAATTTGTTCTGCAGTTCTGTTCTGTGGCCCACTGAAAGCAGACGAAGTTCCTGACAAAGAAACTCCATTGCAAGATCATAAATTTGTTTCTCAAGCGAATCTTGCTGCTTCCACCACAGAGCCCGACGCGGAACCTTGTTGCAGCCGTGCAGAGGACAGAGAACCATGTCAGCTGAGGCCATGGCATGCTAGCAGGAGCCTTGCCTGCCTATCTAAAGGGAAGCACCGAAGAAGGAACACCGCCGAAGGAGAACCCCACCAAAGAAAGAACAGCACCGAAGAGCCCCGCCGAAAGACCCCAGCAAAGGAGAGCCCCGGCCGGCCCCAGAGGCTAGCAGCCTCAAGCCCAGTCGTTGGGCAGCCTTCTGCTCTGTGAGCCGAGATGCTTTACCACCTACCACTACCACTACCACTACCACTACGACTACCACTACCACTACCACTACCACTGCCACTGCCACTGCCACTGCCACTGCCACTGCCACTGCCACTGCCACTGCCACTGCCACTGCCACTACCACCACCACCACGACGACGACGACTACTACTAGTACTACCACTACCACTCCCTCTACTACTACGACTACTGCTACTACTACTACTACTACTTCTACTACTACTACTACTACTACTACTACTACTACTTCTACCACTACTACTACTACTACTACTACTACTACTACTACTACCGTGACAAAACTACTACTACCCCTACTACTAGGACGACGACGACGACTACTACTACTACTACTACCGCTGCTGCGGCTGCTGCTCCTACTCCTACTACTACTACAACTACTACTCCTGCTCCTGCTCCGGCTACTGCTACTGCTGCTCCTACTTCGACTGTTTACAGCTTCTACCACCAGTACTACCAGTGCTGCTACTGTTACGGCCGCTGCTACTACTACTACTACTACTACTACTACTACGACTACGTCTACCTTTCCTGTTCTAGTTGAATATCATTCGATCCAAATACAGCTTTTGTTGATGCGTCTCCCTCATGTTTTTCGCTGGCTCCCTGCGCAGATACTGGTTTAATTTTTGTTGATCCTGTTTTCAGTTCTTTTTATCTTCATGGCCCATTTTGTTGATCCAAATTTCATGGTTTGGGGTTCGTCTCCCTATGATTGCCATGCACATCATGAAACAGACGAAACATATATACTTCCGCCATCTGACGCTGCGGACGAGATCCGGGCTTCATCGCCTAGGTCGTAGTCGCAACTGCTCGGGTGTGGAGCACAAGGAAAAAACCCAAAGATGTCGTTCCGCTTGCCGTCAAGACCTTGTACTTGCTTACAGTCGTTATCAACTGCGGCGGTGAACATTAGTTCAGTTCGAGCATGCCTCGAGGAGAATGATAGAAGCCGACGTAACGTAGGCTCGTCAACAAGCCTGAGCTTAAAAAACCAAAAAGCCTGACGTTCGGCCGCAGGCCAACGGTAGCAGCATTTGCCTTGCCAGAATTGCAGCGAAAACACAAGAGACCTTGGAGCCTGCAAGCTTCGGAACCTTGAACAGTAAGTTCTGAAGCAGCAGCCTTAATTGGAAATCAAGATGCTGCTGCCCCTGCAAGGCCACGGCACCTCCAAACCGGGTTCAGGCACCACGGTGTCTGACTCCGCCTTTCCGAACGGACCTAGCCCGAAGAAGGGTCAAGGACCTGCAATCGGCCCGACCTGGTCCTTGCCCGACCGATCCTGCTCCTAGAAGAGTTTTACCAGCATAGTGCTTCAAGAGTCATTGCGACTTCTCTCTCAAACACAGGATTGGAGTCTTCTTCGTGGTGGTTTCAGGTTTCCGCTGCTTGCGCGTCTCGTGTAGCAGAGGATGTTAAGACCACGCGGTGCTGCGAAAGCACAAGTGTAATCTCAAAGGTGGCAGAATCTATGGCGACTTCTCGGGTTGTTGAGCTATATTCTTGCATCAACGCTTTAATCTCCAATGGTTGTTCCCATTGAGCACTGCACCTCACACACCGTACACTGAGGTCAATCGCACTTAGACTGACAGGGGCCTGGAGCCCTCACGCATCATGAAAGTCAAAAGGCCCATGGTAGAGCGAATACCTATGAGGCCTAAGCCCACAAGCGTTTCGTGCTCCAGGTGAGTTCATCTTGCAAGGAGGCCGCAGAGGCCTCATCAGTTCTTGAAGAGAGAGAGAGAGAGAGAGAGAGAGAGTAACCGGCTTCTGTCAGAGAGGGAGAGGAGGAAGTAGAGCTACCACAACGGCTCATGGCTTCGGGCATCCACTGTTGCTTCTGTTGTTACGCGAGTGGCTGTGGGGCATGTCAGAGGCTGCAGGAAGGGGGGCTAGGGGTTGCGGCATTAAGGTTGGCCCACCGCTGGGAGCGCACTCCTGGGAATTGTGCCAGCAACATGCTAGACTGACATCCTGCTCCACCCAAGTCCCAAAACCGTGACATACTTCAACCAAGCTTGCAGATTGCAGATAAACCCCAGACGGCAAGAAATGCGTTGTATGAGTTTTCCATGGGTGCTGGACGAAACAGGGCCGCCTGCGACCGAGTTCACAGCCTAACATCTTGCACGGACATCGCCCACCATCGCCCACCTTCTGCAAGAGCCGCTCAACGTGCAAAAGCCTGAAGCTGTTTTCAATGCTTCTACCGGAGGTGATTGCTGTCCGTCCGGCCGAGAGCCCCTCCCCCCCATTGGAGGGCTCAACCTCATTCTTACGAAGCCCAAACCATCAGATAAGTTGGGTACCCTTGAACCTTGTTCTGGAATATGAACCCTCAGCCATTTAAGGGCCTTCAGGTTCAGAGCCCTCTGGTGGCCGAGGGCCTAAGGCCCCCTCAAAACAACATCCGAAGCACATTCGAGAACTGCAAGGCTCCCCGTAGTTTGGAGCCGGTGCCCTCAAACATCCTTTGTGCAGGCGGCCTGGGAAGCTGCCCGAAGCCAGGCGCTACCTCCACCAACGCGATTCGTGAGATTTAGTTGGTCACATTCAGCGGAAGCCATAGCTCCGACCTTAAGATCTTGAGCCGACATCCAGCACTCCAGAAGCCAGAAGCTACAGCCCTGCATTTTGAGGAATCCTACGCCGTCAGACTTCCTCGAATTCTCCCATCCAGCCACTGAGCCCCCCAGTGTGCAGAAGGCCTCTGAGGAGAGAAGGCCCAACTAAAAAACCCGGAGCTTAGCCTGGCCTTGGGAGTCCGAAGAAACGCACGCCGTCCTTATCATCAGCTGGGGCCATGTGCCACTGAAACAGCTCCACAGACTTTGCTGCAGCTCACTTCTGCTACATTTGCATCTCGCTGGTCTTGCGTGCTTTAAAATTATCCTACAAGATGTTGCTTCGGACTCTCGTTTGTCGGTCGTCCCTTCGTCTGGTTTCTTTTCCTGATACTTGATAATCCGACCATGTTCTGCTGCTGGGGCGTCATGGCACGAGTCTTGCCGTCTACAACCGAATGCGTGACACCATTCCTATGATCGCTGCGTGGCCTCCTCGACCTCAGAAACCGAAGGCCTTGCTGAGATAAATACTTTGCCAGTATCCTGCCTAGTGATTTTCTCAGCAATGCAGGAGGCACGTTGGGTTTTCCGGTGATCAGCTCGGGGATGCTCACGGAAGCTTCAGGCTTTCCAGGGGGGCTTCCTTAAAAATGATCTAGGTGGAACTTGTTGTTGACTCACGCGCGTGAGAAACTTCTTCCAGTGAAACTCACTCGCGCCAGGCAGCGCCCGATCCTGCTGTCCAGACCGTCCAATCGACACCCTTCCGCTTCTTTAGGCGGCCGGAGCCAGCTCTTGCAGCTGGGCCGTCACGATATGTACAAAGCTATCCTGCTGTCCGGCTCCTGCCCCCGCTGCTGCAGTGCTGCGATGCTTCCAGCAGGAGGGCATCAGCACTCCGCAGCCCAGGTCACTTCGAAAGGTGAGCGCCATGAGTTTGCAAGCATCTTGGTCGCACTCCGGCCCGAGCTCTCAAAATGCCTACTTCTGCCGTCCGTCACTCCCCATACACTTCCCGAGTCAAGGCCTAAGCTCTTGAACCTCGCGCGGCGGAGCTTCAAAAGCACAAGAAACAAAGCGGGATAGTCTATTACCGAGTGTAAGCACCGAAGCTTATTGGTTCGAGGAAGGCACAGCAACCGAGATCCTTGTCCGGACTGAGGCGTGGGAGGGCGCACCTTCCTCATCCAAGCGTGGCGATCGGAGTCGTTGCTGTCTCCCTTGAGGGTGTAGCCATGTGTAGCCGCCATCAAGGCGGAGGCTCCCACTATAGAGTCCTTTTGACCCGGTGGTCTTCGAGACGATGTCCACTAAGCGCCGTTAAGCTAAGGGTAATATAAGTTGTTTTTTTGGGACTTTGTCCGAGGAGCTTCCCTCAAATTACCCTCAGAGTTGGAGGGAAAGACAGGCGCCCGAAGCTTGGCGCTGATGGCAGCTACACCACATTCGGACACAGCCAAATACCCACCACAGGCTAGAGGAGGTGTGGCTTTGCAGTGCTTGTTCCACACGCCCTGCAGTAGTCCTTGCTCGTAGACTGCGATCGTGCAGCTACGGCTACCGGCGCGCGTGCGTGTGTGTGTGTGTGTGTGTGCGTCTTCGCTAGGAGAGGTGTTTTGATGCTCTCTCTCCCTGTCGCTCTGTCGCTATTGCCTCACATCCTCCTCTCGCCTTTTCTTTTCGAGCCTTAATAGATCGTCCCAGGTTTGCAATTGAAACCTAGGCTGTTTCTGGAATATATTCGCGCTGGGCAGCACGATGGTTGCTTAGGTGCTAGAGCTAGATTCTCATCTAACTGCGGAAGCCTCGATTTTTTCCGTGCTTTGGTCATTAAGTTTCGCGACCTTGTAGTGTACTGCGTGACAAAGGAACACAGTTTGAGTCAGATGAGTTTACAGCTTTTGAACTCAGTTCCTCCTCCAGCCGTTTGCCTGTTTTTTATTTCACGCAGATGTGCGGCTGAGCCGGCCTGGGCTTCTGCATTTCTGCGCCACGCGTGCCGCCCTTCGAGCATTGAATTTCGATGCTTCGGGGTCAGTCTTTCGATCTCGTTGTCCTGGTACTCTTACGGCTTCAGGTTGCTGATTTGCACATTGGGCAGCGGTTGCGATCGTTCCCTGCCATATCGGAGGCAGTCACAGGTGAGGAGTTGAACTGACTTAGGCCCACTTTCGCTGGCGCAGTGCTT